TCATTCATTACAAAAGAGCACACGCCCACTTTAACAGTGTTCTTTCCAACCCTCCTGGAAGAACAAGACCCAAGAATCAGTTCACTCAGAACATTTTATCACACAAAAGGTGTGAAGTGAAATAATATCCTGGCATCCCAACATTATTCAGCTTAGAGCCACCAGTACCAGATAAGCAGAATACTGTACATTCACCATTAAATGCTCAAAGTCTGTTGTTAAGTCACTCACCTTGACTGCATCAGAGCCTCCAACCCAAGTTTGTTTATTTGTACCAGCTGAGGTTTTAATCAAACCCTTCACAAAGTCATAGTGGTCTTTGGTGTGGATGGAGGCCAGATTCCCACCAACAGCAACACAGCCAACCTGATGGAGCAAAGCGTGAAGCCAAGACAAAAGAAACAAGTAGAAATCAGTACATGAAGTAGGAGTGTCAGAATTTGACTAGAGTGCAGAGACAAAGGCCATTTAATTTCACATCAGGATGAATATTTTAAACAAGCACACCCTCACAGCTACATTCAGCTGACCATTTCTGTCTCCACAGACCTATGAGGGTTAGAATTGGGGATGCACCAATGATGATACCAGTTTGGGTCCAACACTACATCAGGTTACTGAAATTCAGTCGCACATTTATCCAATAATGGTGATAGCGCTGTTTGAACTAATCTGCACAGCATCCTGTTGACAAGATACTCTTTATCCAGTTGGACATTTCACCAAATTGAGCCATCTCTCTAATCACAACACATTTTAGCAGGGGTGGGCAATTCCAGCCCTTGAGGGCCGCTGTCCTGCTTGCTTTCCCCATGATCCCTGCCTGACCTGCTGCCGATTACCTGGCTCAGGTGTGTTCAGTCAGAAGTTTTTATGATACCAATTCACTTTCTTTCCTCACTCCACTTTCATCCAAGATGGTATGTTCCAGCTTCTGACTGGCTGAACACACCTGAGACAGGTAATCAGCAGCAGGTCAGGCAGGGATAGTTGGTAAAGCAGGACAGCAGCCCTTGAGGACTGGAATTGCCCCACACCTGCTGTAAAGTGAAAACAGTCCAACATTTACTTTGACATGTCTGAAAGTGGTATTGGTGCAGCCCTAGTCAATATAATTTAGTCTCATACAACACCACCTTGAACTACAACCTCAACCATTTCACCAAAAACAAACCCTTATCTTGAACATGTCAAGATGAAAATGTTGCATACACCTACCCAATAAAGTGGCCAGTGATCAAGTAAAAATTGTTGTTCCAGCCAGTACCTCTGCATCAGCCCAGTCCTTTTCATTGAGGTTGAACTTGTAACAGTAGTCATCATGCTGGGTCCATCCCTTAGGGCATCTCTTACCTACACAACAGCCTGGTGTGAAAGAGGGAGAAAGGCCGAGAAATAATAGTCCACCGTTTGCTCATGAACCAGATCAAGCTACCATTAGGCACTTTCCAGACCTACAGCTATATCTATCCACACACACACACACACACACACACGTGAACACGTCTAAAACAAGAAGGAAGTCTGTTATATGGCCAAATGTGCTACACATCAGCTGAATCTTTTGTCAGCCTGGTACTGATGGTAAAAGATGTATTGACTGGGTACTATCAAACACATGAGCTCTGGTTGTGGACAAATATCAGGCAGCGGTACTACATTCTGAGCCACCACAGTTCTAGAAAGTACCAACCATCAGATGGTCTTGCTTCTCCCTGTGAACAAAGACACAGTATTAGCACTAAACTCCACCTAGAATTTGAATTCAGTGTTTATTATTCATATACACCTTATAGTATATTGCACCATATTATGACGAGAGGTTGGTCAGTTCTAATGGTTCATGTTAGAAGACCAGTTTATTCAAGTTCAGTACAACAGTCCTTTATACTTACAACGTCCTGAGCCCATAGCCCACTGGCCAAAGAGAGGAGCAACATGAAATACAGACCTAAGGCCATCTGTGTGAAAATATTACACAAGCAAATTCACCATGAAGAAGGAATGCATTATTTACATGCGATTCAGTTCCAAGTGATCATTTCAGCTCTAATGAACATACATTTTTAATGTGCAAATAAACATTAAGAATTTGTAGTGGCCAACTGTTCACCTGGATTGAAAGCCAAAAATGGTAATCCAGTTTTATCAATACTATTGTTATAGCGGGCAAAAAAAAAAACACACAACAAATGCTTTTACAACAATGTAGCATTGTAAGAAACATGGAGATGCATCAAAACAGCTCGTGTAAGCAAAGGCAAGAGTTACAACCTTACCTTGATGTGATTTCACTTGCAGCTGTAGCAGAAGTCGAAACACCACACACACACACACACACACACACACACACACACACACACACACACACACACACACACACACACACACACACAGCAGGAAGTTTCACTCACCCTGAAACACAGATCTATCCATCAAGATACTGCAGGTTTATTATAAGGAAAGACAAGGTATTCTTTAAAGAATGTTAAAAAGTTTTAAAGGAGCAGCTCAACACAAGATGTAGAAGTTTCCTCAAAAGGGATCATTTGACTGGAGAGACCCAATAAAACTAAAAACACAATTAACAACATTACCAAAGAAAGCCACAAACCAATAACAGGACAAAACCAAAACAAACCTGAGTTCAAAATCAAGGAATAAGCATAAAAGGGATCAAACCAACAAATCCAGGTCTGCCAGATGAGGTGATTATAACGACTGAACAAGGGAAGCAAACGAGTAACAGGTGAAAACAATTAAGGCAATCAATGACAGTGTAAAGCTGGGGCAGGGGAGAGGGCAAGAAAGAGGAAATGGCCACAAAATAAAAGCATACAACAGGAAGAAAACCCAAACCCATGACAGTTGCTCCTGTTTATATTTGGATAAACACAAAGATTGTACTTCATTTTTAGGTGGAGGTTTAAATTAAATAAAGAGTGAGACAAAGATAGAAAATGTAAAAATTTAATACGTTTTATTTTGATTACAATTTAATTTTTCATTAAAGGAAAATGTCTGTGTGTGCTGTTAAAGAAAGTCTCTGAGCTGTGGGCCCAGAGAAACTGTTTTATTTCTGTTTTCTACTTATTTACAACTTGATGAATAATGTTTTCTGTGTCGTGGCTGTAAGTTTCAGTCCTGCTCATTTTGTCAGTTCAAGTTAAGAACAAAGAAACACTGACAGAAGAAAAACTTTGCATCACTGAGCTATGAGTGAAGAAAGAACTTACAGTGCATCCAGAAAGTATTCACAGCATTTAAGTTTTTCCACATTTTGTTATGTTACAGCCTTATTCCAAAATCACATGTACATAAGTATTCACAGCCTTTGCTCTGTGCCTTTGCTTTGTTGAAGCATCTTTAGCACCAATTACAGCCTCACGTCTTTTTGAGTATGATGCTACAAGCTTGACACACCTATTTTTGGGCCGTTTCTCCCATTCTTCTTTGCAGTACCTCTCAAGCTCCATCAGGTTGGATGGGAAGCGTCATTGCATAGCTATTTTCAGATCTCTCCAGCGATGTTCAATCTGGTTCAGGTCTGAGCTCTGGCTAGGCCACTCAAGGACATTCACAGAGTTGTCCCGTAGCCACTCCTTTGTTATCTTGGCTGTGTGCTTAGTCTTGTTGAAAGATAAACTGTCGCCCCAGTCTGAGGTCCAGAGAGCTCTGGTACAGGTTTTCATCAAGGATGTGTCTGTATATTGCTGCAGTCATCTTTCCCTCGATCCTTTCCCAGTTCCTACCACTGAAAAACATGCCCACATCATGATGCTGCCACCACCATGCTTCACTGTAGGGATGGTATTGGCCAGGTGGTGAGCGGGGCCTGGTTTCCTCCAGACATGACGCTTGGCATTCAGGCCAGAGAGTTCAATCTTTGTTTCATCAGACCAGAGTTTTGTTTCTCATGGTCTGAGAGTCCTTCAGGTGCCTTTTGGTAAACTCCAGGTGGGCTGCCTGGAAGACATTTGCACTATGCACAAGACCATATCCATCAGCTGATCTTGATAGTCTGTCCATAAGACTATATGGGCTACATAAGAATCTGGTTTGGGAACACAGACTGATGTCATGTAAGTAGGCAGCCCCTTGCTTTGAACCACATCTGGACACTGGGGTGGTGCCACAAGTTAAAAGACTATGTGCTGCGGTTTCTAGGACCATGTACCCTTAGAAGGTGATGCACTCCACCATTTGTCATGTTCAAGGATGCTGCCATACACTTGTCCTTCTCTCTGTCTCATTTCTTTTCTGCTGACAATAGATAGATTTGGTGGGCTACCTGACAGCATCTGGTTCTTGGAAATGATGCAGATTTTGCTGTGAATGTGCTGGTTGTCAAATTGTAGTCAAAATCAATGTTGTGGACAAATTCCAGGATATTCATCCACACAAGGTCTCACTGGTTAATAATGCCAGATGGAGAAAGACCTGAAATGTCATAATATTCTTGGCCAGGGAATGATCACGACGAAAGGAATGAACTAGAAAGGAGTACATGAAGCAGGAGTGTTGGACTTTGAAAGAAGCAGTGAGAAATACCACATCAGGTCTTTGTAAATGAATTTGTGTGTGCAAACACAGCCACTTCATTAGTTTTAGTTTGTAGGCACAGTATTCACTCATAGAAAAATGAACTGGTCTGTACCACAGAACATCTTCATTCTCTTAACAATCAAAAGATATGAGTGATTGCACCATGACAGAGGTTGACAAAGTTAGTCATGCCACCACTCTAAATAGGGTTTCCCTCACTTTCCTCCTTTATTGATTGTTACTTTTATCTGTTTCCATCATTTTCTTGGAGTGTCTATCAAATTGAACAGTTACAGTATTGTACTCTGTGCCCCCCTCAGCTTTTATAGTTTATTGTTTGACAAGCAAAAGACAACTTCTGAAACTCTATCTTCAATTCAACAAAAAACAGACATCTAAAACATTTCACTGTAACCAGAACCTAAATGACTTTTTATTTATTATTATTTATCATTGTACATATGAAACATCTTTTTACAGCTTATTGAACCCCACACAGTTCTTATTTCTCAGTTTTAATTCACACATGCTATTAATTAGTGAAAAGGGAGATAAGGAGCCATTATTTTAATTTCCACACTGATTGATATTCACAGCTAGTTGATGGTTGTGTTTTTCATGATTAATTAGCGCTTGAGTGTGCCAGAATGCCCACATCAATATTTCACTCTCAGTATTGCTTCCCATCCTGCTACAAAAAAACAACTACTTGAAGTCAGAGCTTGGCCACTCCTATGTTTTATTTGAATCTATCCATTCTTTTAAAGTTTGCCTCCACTGATCTCGTCCTCAGGTATATCATGGAAGCATGTCACTATCGTGTTTCTACACAGTGGCGTCTAACAAACTCCAGGGTCTTTCTGAGGTTTAAGTTCTGCACAGATTGAGAATCGCTTGCTTGGAGCACGTCTCATTGTGTTACAATACCA